CCAAATCACAGGAGCAGTGATGCTGGCAATTCAGATATGCCAAAGAGAAGCCGAAAAGTGTTTCCTTTCAGTGAAAATGTGAAAGTTCTTGACTTAAGGAAAGAAAAAAATTTGTATGCTTAGGTGGCTAGGGTCTACGGTAAGAATTAATCTTCTACCTGTGAATTTGTGAGGAAGGAAAAAGAAATTCATGCTAGTTTTACTGTTGCACTTCAAACTGCAAAAGTTACAGCCACAGTGCATGTATAGGAAAAAACATAGGATATATAAGTATTAACCTAGAAGAAATACACTAGAGAAAAATATCTCCAAATACGTTATGTTCACTCGGGAATAGAAAATAGAATTATAATCCGGAACACATAACATGGCAAGCCATGAATGCATTCAGTAAAGGAAGGTAAGAGAAAGCTTTTATTGGCAAAAAGGGAGAGGTTCACATAAGCTGTTTGGAAACTGAGTTCGTTGGTTTAGAACGTTCAAAGTCAGATTTGTCATCAGTTCATCAGATGAGAGGCGTTACTGGGCAAGATTCTTCTCAGAGCACCTTCTCTGAATGACTGCAATTATACAGAATGCCTAATGATGAACTTTGTCACAGAAACACGTGCATATGTGCAAAGCAGGAGATGTGTAAAGGACATGAAAGAGTGAAGGGATTTCTGATGGGTTTTGAGAAGGTCTTTGGAAACAGTTCTTATCTCAGCCAAGCAAGCATGAGCACCCCTCCTTTGTGCCTTTGCACAAGGCCCTAATTCATCTGAGTACGACAGAAAGTGATTTCATTCACTTCCACATACGGTTTGGTACTATCCATGGTTTCAGACATCCTCTGGGGGTCTTGCAATGTATCCGCCACAGATAAAGGGGAACTACTGTACCAGAATATGCCACCCCCAAATAAGCCTCTGGGTTATTTTGAGCTAAAGACAATTGAAAACCAGCAGAAGCAGGAGAAGTTACAGTATTTACCTTCTCCCAACTGCCTATCCATAGAGCGTAACTTTTCTCTTTTATAAACGAAATTTACGGGCCAACCCCGTGGCGCACTCGGGAGAGTGCGGCGCTGGGAGCGCAGCGACGCTCCCGCCGCGGGTTCGGATCCTGTATGGGGATGGCCGGTGCGCTCACTGGCTGAGCGCGGTGCGGCTGGTCACAAAAAAGACAAACCCCCCCACCCCCCAAAAAAACTGAAATTTACATTTCTAAAGACGTTTCTTGAACCAGGAAGAGAGCTACTTCCAGAGACCGGGCTT